AACGGAGAGATTGACAACAATACAGTCATAATAGAGAACTTTAACACCCATTTGACTTCACTGGACAGATCTTCCAGACAAAAACTTAACAAGGAAACACAGACTCTAAAGGACACACTGGAGCAGATGGATTTAATTGACATTTATAGAACATTTCACCCCAACACAGCAGAATGTAGATTCTTCTCAATTGTATGTGGGTCATTCACAAAGATATACCACATGTTATGACACAAAGCAGGTCTCTGCAAGTCCAAGAAGACTAAATCATATCAAACATCTTCTCAGATCACAGTGGAAAGAAATTAGAAATAAACTACAGTCAAAATATTCAAATACCTGGAGGCTAAATAGCATTTTATTAAACAATGAATGGGTTACCAATGAGATCAAGAAAGAAATTTTAAAAAACTTACTGGAAACAAATGAAAATAAATACACAACAATCCAAAATCTCTGGGACACAGCAAAAGCAGTCCTGAGAAGGAAGTTCATACCACTACAAAAAAACAAGAAAAATCAGCAATAAACTATTTAACCTTACATCTTAAAGAACTAAAATGAGAACATGAAAAGCCCATAGTAAATAAAAGGAAGGAAATAATAAATAATAAAGATTAGAGCAGAAATAAATAACATAAAGAATAAATAAATAAATAGTACAAAAAAATCAATGAAACCAAGAGCTGGTCCTTTGAAAGGATAAACAAAATTGATAAACCATTAGCCAGACTCATTAAAAAACAAAGTGGACCCCAATAAATAAAATCAGAAATGAAAGTGGAGAAGTAACCACAAAAACCACAGAAATACAAAGGATTATAAGAAAATACAATGACCAACTATATATCAATAAGGTGGACAATGTGGATGAAATAGACAAACTCCTAGAACAATATAATCTCCCAGAACTAAATCAGGAAGAAAAGAAAACAACAACAACAACAAAAAACTGAACAGGCCCAAAACAACTGATGAAATAGAAGCAGTAATAAAAAAAGACTCCACCAAACAAAAGCCCAGGTCTGGACAGCTTCACAGGGGAGTTTTTCCAAACATTCAAAGAAGAACTGACACCTACACTCCTCAAACTATTTCAGAAAATCCAAGAAGGAACACTTCTAAAGTCTTTATGAGGCCAGCATCATCCCAATTCCAAAACTATTGTAGATAAAGACCCTATAAAGAAAATTATAGGCCAATATCCCTGATGAACATAGATGCTAAAATCTTCAACAAAATAATAGGAAGTTGCATCCAGCAATATATTAAAAAGATCATACACCATGATCAAGTGGAATTTATTCCAGGGATGCAAGACTGGTACAATATTCATAACATGATACAGAAGGAGAAACCAAGATGGAAGCATAGGTAAACACCTGAAATTGCTGCCTCACACAACCACTTCAAAACTACAACTAAAAGACAAAATGGACATTATCCAGAACCACAGAAAGGCTGGGTGAGTGGAAATTCTACAACTAGAAGGAAAAAGAAAAGCACACTAAGGCTCAGAGGAAGTGTGGAAGTAAAGTGCAGAGGTACTGAGGTGCACATGGAAAGGGCTGACAACTGAGGACACACTTTGTCTTTTTCAATCAGGAGGGAGACACAGGCTCCTGACTGCTCTGAACTCCAGTTCCTGGTAAGACTCTGGAGACCCAGACTTATACAGGGAAAAATTGGACTGTCAGACATCAGTGGAACTGGAGGGCAGCTTTCTCTCAGAAATGCTTGCAGAGATTATTGAGGGACACTGAGACCTGGGGCCACTTAAGGGAAGGCTGTTTGCTCCACCCTGTTAAATCCCTGAGACTCCCACTCACCCAAGCTGTGCGCAGAGGCTTTTGCATATGAATGCCCTGGCCCTTAGCAATCTATAATTACCTAACAAACTGCAGCTGGGTCAGAGAGACCCAGAACATCCAAAAAAAGGGCCAAGGCCCACAGCAGCTTTCACTGCTTCACAGCTGGGCCTCATCTGGGCACCTCTAAATCCCAAACAAATAAGAGGAATCTGTAGCTCCAGCTGGGTGGCCTCAGGCAGAGGCTAAATTAGCACCTCCTTAGAGATCAAAGAGCCAGCGTACCCAGTGGTCAGAGTGGGACAATCTAGATTACAACTCCTCAGGTCCATAAGGGACACACTCAGGGGGCAGATTCTGTGAGCACCAAAGCCCCACTTAAGCAAGTCTTTCCCCATAAGGGTGTCTCCAGCACAGTTCTCTCATCATAGACACAGCTGATTCTCACAGCCACTTGGCCTGGAAGCCAATTCCTTCCAGTGATACCAACAACTATCAAGGCTTAACTATAACAAGACTATGCACACAGTCCACAAAGGGGTGCACCAAGAGTATTCACCTCAGGTAACTGGAGAGGCTAGGCCACTGGGCCCTATAGAACAGTTAGCACACAAAGTCACTCTATCAACACAGAAAAGCAGCCAAAATGCGAAGACAAAGAAAAAGGTCACCAATGACAGAAATGGAGGAAAGCAAACTACTGGATGTAAAGTTCAAAACCACGGTTATAAGGTTTTTCAAGAATTTTCTAGAAACCGCCAATAAATTTAGTGAGACTCAAAGGATATGAAAAAGGACCAATTAGAAATTAAGCATATACTGTCTGAAATAAAGAATAATATACAGAGATCCAACAGCAGATTAGAGAAACACAAGAATCAAGTCAAAGATTTGAAATACAAAGAAGCAAAAAATAGAAAAGAAAAAAGAATCCAAAAATATGAAGATAGTGTAAGGAGCCTCTGGGACAACTTCAAGTATACCAATGTCCAAATTATTGGGGTGCCAGAAGAGAGAAAGCAAGATATTGAAAACCTATTTGAAGAAATAATTACAGAAAACTTCCCCTACCTGGTGAAAAAAAAGTCTTACAAGTCCAGAAAGTGCAGAGAACCCCAAACAAAAGGAATCGAAAGAGGACCACACCAAGACACATCATAATTAAAATGCCAAGAGCAAGAGACAAAGAGAGAATCTTAAAAAGCAGCAAGAGAAAAACAGTTAAGTTACCTACAAGGAGTACCCATGTGATCACATTTACCATTGCACTGAAAAAAATTAAGATACCTAGTAATAAACTTAACTGAGGAGGTAAAAGACCTGAACTCAGAACACTACAGGACACTGAAAAAAGAGATAGAGGAAGACATAAACAAATGGAAGAACATACCCATGTCCATGGATTGGTAGAATCAACATCATTAAAATTTCCATACTACTCAAAGGAATCTATAGATTCAATGTAATTCCCATTAAGAAACCAAAAGAATATTTCACAGACCTATAACAAATCCTCCAAAAGTTCATCTGGAATGGAAGAAGACATGGAATAGCTGTAGCAATCCTGAGAAAGAAGAATAAAAATGGAGGAATCATAATATCAGATATCAATCTATATTCCAAGGTTGCTGTTCTCAAAACTGCCTGGTTTTTGCCCAAGATCAGACATATTGACCAACGGAACAGAACAGAGAACCCAGAAATCAACCCAAGCCATTGTGCTCAATTAATATTTGACAAAGGAGGCAAAAGCATACAATGGAGTTAAGATAGTCTTTTCAATGAAAGGTGTTGGGAAAGTTGGACAGATACATGCAAAAAATGAAACTAGACCACCAATTTATACCATACACAAAAATAAACTCAAAATGGATAAAGGACTTAAACATAAGATAAGAAACCATAAAAATCTTAGAAGAATCCATAGGCAGCAAAATAGCAGACATATGTTGTAGCATTCTTTACCAATATAGCTCATAGAGCAATGAAAATTAAAGATAAAGTAAACAAATGGGACTACATCAAAATAAAAAACTTTAGCACAGCAAAAGAAACCATCAACAAAACAATAAGGAAGCCCACTGCATGGGAAAACATATTTGCCAATGTTATCTCCGATAAGGGTTTAATCTAAAAAATTTACAGGGAACTCATACAACTTAACAAAAGGAAAATAAACAATCCAATAAAAAAAAATGGGCAAAGGACCTAAATAGACACTTTTGGAAAGAAGACATACCCCAGGTTCCCTCACCACATTCCTGCCCACTCCACAGAGAGACACACATACACACCCCTTAAAGACCTTCAACACTCTCGTCACTTAGACTTTTCTTTGCCAAAGCTGTTCTCTCCTGGAACATTCCTGTATTCTACTCTCCAACTACATACTCTCTCTTGTTTTTGAAAGTGCAGCTTTTTATTCCAGTCTTTCCCTCCTCGCCCCCCAATATTCTAGACAATGGATCCTCTTCCAGGATCTATTATGACTTGTCCTTGACAGTCATTTTTGCATTTAAAAATATGTATATACTAGAGGCTTGTTGCATGATATTTATGCAAAAATAGGCCTTTCTTCCCCTGGCTTCACTCCCAGCCGCCTGCAAGCCAGCAAGTCCCAGCTCCCTGGCTGCCTGGGAGCCAGCAAGTCCTCACTTCTGTGCAGAGCACAACTCCAGTAGTTCCTTCCACCCAGCTTCCCTCATAGCAGGCATCACACCCCTTCCACTCCATGCCTGCATATGCAAATTAGCCTCCATCTTTGTTGGGTTAATTTGCATACTAACTCTGATTAGCTGTGGATGTAGTGGAGTGATGGTTAATTTGCATGTTTCTCTTTTATTAGGTAAGATATTTCTTCTTACTATTTTACTTATCTACATCTTACTTCCTCAATAAACTTCATGAGATAGGAGTAAGAGGCTTTTATTACTTTGTCTTTCACCATGAGCCAATTACATTCCTGCAGTGCTACTAAGTGTTCATTAAGCACTAAGTGGGTAGGGGAGAAGTCATGCCAGGAGGGAAAGTTTTGCACAGTGAGGAACATTTGTCATGAAGTTCATCTCTCCTCAGTTTATCAGGGTAAACACAGTGGTCTAGGACTCAGAGCTGAGCAATTCCATAACAATGGAAGAAATAATATTCATGATCTAAGAACAGAAGGGAAAAAAAGAAGTAACTTAGACCCACCAGGGCTGCAGGGATCAGCAGCACAATGAGCACCCCCTTTTCTTCTCGGTTCCCAGCATGGAGGTTTGAGTCCTCAGAAAGTGACCCTAGAAGTGGAGAAAGGAGCCAGAATGATTACTCTTGCCTTGCAGTGAACTCGCAAAAATGTGCCACACACATCTACTTGTCACCTAAAAGAATCACCCAGGGAATTAAGGAATAATTCCACAACTTCTCTGAATCAAGACGGCCATGACCATGACTGCCTCGGGGTTCTTCCTATCCTCCTCTTCCTTAAACTTCAACAGAACTCCTCTAGACACGTAACCTAAACACATATTTCTGTCATCTGCTGAGCAATAGTCAAAAAAATAATCAAAGAATCTGTGTCAATACGTGCCTCCCCTAAGGATTCACTCCGGCTCTATTCCAGGCTCACTAGATGAAGGAAGATAAATTCTTTTTGAACACTGGTTTTTCGGATACAGTACACGTCGCAGTAAAGCGACGGGTCTTAAAGGGCAATATCAAGGGAACTAGTCAAATCTTATGACTTCTCAAATCCTCACTTTCATCATCTTAGTCTTCTTCCCAATAGTGTCCTCTTGTGAGGACAAGAGTTAGTCGTTATCAAAAGTCAAACAGATTTGTAGGTTTGGGGGCAGGGAGGCATGCGCAACCGACTGGCAAGCAGGGAATGCAGGTAGCAGCTCTCCCTCCAGGAAAGGGCTCTCCTAGAGAAGTCAGATGCTGCCCATTCTGAGCCGGCCCCAGCCAGAGGGCAGCTTTTCTCCTTTCATCTCTACAGCAGGCACCGCGTATTCCTCCGAAATTCTCACCTCTGCGCACAGGCTCAACGGCGACTCCCTCCCTGGGCCGTGCAGGAGACCCCCACCGCGAGGCCAGGGTCCACTGCTCTGTCCACCCAGAGGCCCGGGAGCGCGCGCGACCTCACCGGGCCGCCGGGCGCCTATCCGGGGGCCTCCCTGAGCCCTCCCTCCAGCCACTCGGGTTTAGAGGACCCGTGCTCAGCCCTCCTCCACCCCAGGCTCGATCTCACACTAGACACCACCGAGGAAGCCAGGCGAGAGACAGGCATCTAGCCAGCGGGGCCAAGACCCGCAAGCCCGGAAACAAGGTCGAACTACAACTCCCAGAACCCTCTGCGCGGTGTAGCACAGAGGCTCTTCCTAGAGGCTCCCCGGCGCTCCATTCAGGCAGCCTTCTGCTGTCATAGCTTTGTACCCCGCCACCGAATGCAGACCCTTGGGAGTGCTCGGCCGCTCGGAAGTCGTCTTCCAGGCACAAGAAAGGTTAACCCTTCTTCTAGGCCGTCTCTGGGCTCTGGCCCTGAAAGATGCCCTCGGCCGCACCAAACTGCACCTGCTGGGAACCCTCACTCCCTGCAACTGGACCCCGCGGAGGGCCGCGCCCCCAACCACAGGATTCCCGCCTGGGCTGCTGAACTCGTGGGAGGGGAGGCGCCTGCATCGAGTCCCCTCTACTGGGTCTCCCCGGCTTTAGGCCCCTTGTGATGGGGACAGAGGTCACCCCAAGTAATCCGGGATGTTTATTCCGGGCTGCACCTCGGAATAAGGGAAAGTAGGATCTCAGCCCCGGAAATTACTTCAACCAAGAAAAAGCCAGGTCCCCACAGGTCCCGCGGACCTCAAAGAGACTGGAACCTGCAACTCCTCCAGACTCCCCACAAGCTCTAAGAGCCGCCGGCAGGTGTCGGTGTATCTCCAGGCTAGTGCATGCTCTTGTTTATCTTCCCACTATAAAGTAACTAATTTTCCACCCAGATCAAATCCCAAGAAAGAAAATCAAATTAGCAAAACTGTCCGTGCTTCGCTACAAGCCACAGGTCCATTTGGTTTTTCTCTAATAGAATTGGCACTTTTAGCTAGGCATTAAATTCCCCAGAGTAGACTACATTTCTCCTCATCACTCACCCCCCCTCCCCCATATCAACCCCCCAACCTGCCACGGGGATGAGAGAAAAAGTGGTTTTTACAGTGAAGAGGAAAGCGCCAATATGCTGGCTGGAACACAGACGAGTTGTCATGGAGTATGTGGACAAGATTAACACCCTAGGAATGGCGAACCAAAAGAACAGAAACAAGTGCCCCTGACAGTGTGGTGGAACAGATCTTGTGCTTTTTAACATAAGTGAGGTATAAACTGGGATTTTGTATAAACCCCTATTATATTTGGTTTCTGCTACACAGATAGCCACATTTACCTCCTAATTGGTCTCTAGGTTGTCTACTTTTGGCCTAATCTGCTAGGCCTGGAGGAGAGGGGGCATATGGAGAATACAATGCTGTTGACTCAAAGAACCCAAAAGGGAGTCTCCACCCCCTTCCATCAGCAGAAATGAGAAATTTCTTTTAAATTCAGCAATGTCTGGAACACCAGGAAAAACCCTAATTTTTATTAATCATCCCCATCACAGAAATCCTCTGTCTTTTGCTATCAAATCAATAGTCAGTTCTCCATCCTCTCAATTTATCTACAAACAGTAGTTGATAAAACTGATTATTCCCTCCTTGACTGGTCACTCCTAAGTCTCCTTAAGTAGTTCCTCCACTTCCCAGCCTCTAAATCACTGTTTCTCAAATTGCTGCATGATCAGAATCATTTGGATGGCTTGTCGAACACTGTGCTGAAAACACCCGTATCAGGATGGGGTAGGGCCTGAGGATGTGCATTTCTAAGAAGTACCCAAGTGATATTGAAGGTGCTCATTTGGGAACCAACTAAAAACATTGGCATGTCCAAGGGCTCACTGAATAGTAGGGAAAAACCTATGCCATTCAAATGTGGTCAACTGTCAATTTTTATTTTCAGCCATTAAATTCACATTCCAGGTAGGAAGAAGGAAAGGACAAGAGCAAAAGGGAGTTTTTAGGTGTCCCTCAGCCTTATAAGGTGCTGTGGGGTCCCTGTTTAAAGTGCACTGGATGGTCAAGGCTGCTCTGAGCCTAGGACTCATAATCAGACTGTTCAGGACACTGAGCCTGGGAATCCCAATTAAGGTATGAAGATGTGCCTTTCTGTAGCCAAATTACTGATGTTACCATTTGGCAAAGTGCTGCTTTTGTTTGAGCATGTATACAAGCTGCTTTTGTGTGAGCATGTATATTACCAGCCTGCTGGGGCTGCTTTTGTGTGGAATAAAGCATGTCCCATTTGCCTGCCTGCACATGTGTATTCCAATTCCTGCCACCCAGGAGGGTTAAGTCCCTAGCTAAGGAGCTTGCACCTGACAGGTGCCTTGCTGGAAGTCATGTCCAACAAATTCCAAATATATCAATACTAGTGGCCCAGTGCATGAATTCATGCACAATGGAAGGAAATTCTATAATAGAACTGTCAACTAAATTCACGATCAACAATGACAGAATGAAGCACACACAACCAGTGAGAGCTTTACGGTATATGTATTACGCATGTGCAAGTCAAGTTAGCCTTTTATAGATATAGAATAAACTTGCTTAATTAGAACTGCTTTCTGATTTAGCTAAACTTTTTCCAGCCCAGTGAAGCATCCCAACTTCTCTTTCAGGTAATTGTCTGAACACAGCAGTAAATATCAACATGAAGCAGATTTTTATTGTAGATCATGCAGGGAGAACAAAGGGTAAACTATTTCACTGCAGCAGTGTTTGACTATATTCTTCACAGTGAGAAAACCTAGTCATTTTCAAGGTCCACCACTTCTTCTTTTCCTTTGCTGGGTAATGAAAATAGGATTCTACCTAGTCTCCTATCTACCTACTCCAGGACTTCTGTGAGGATCAAATGAGATGAGGCACAGGAAAATGCTTCACAGACGTTTGTTTAAAGTGTGAAATGTTTCCACCTGATTATAAAGCAAGTCATGTTCCTGGGCTAAAGAAACGCCAAGGAGGCCTGTAGCTAAGGAGAGGATGCCAGGTGCTGCTACATGATGTCATTACCCAGATGGACACTTAGCACATTAGTCTGATGGATAGATAGATAGATAGATTATTGGCTTGGTATTTATTGGGTCGGCAAGTACGTAATTGCGGATTTTTTAAAGAAAATCAAAGACAATTTTTTCATGGAACTAAGTAACTTTATTCTGTAATGTATTGCCCATTTTGATCAATGACCTTTTGCCATCTTTCAGGCAGCATCATAATCCCACGTTCAAAAAACTTCTGGTTTTTATTAGCAAAAAACTGAATCAGGTATGATTTGACATCATCATCATTATTGAAATTTTTACCATTCAAGGAGTTTTGTAAAGATCGAAACAAAAAGTAATCAGATGGTGCAAGGTCAGGACTATATGGTGGATGTGGCAAAACATCCCAACCAAGCTCCATTAATTTTTGCCGAGTGACCAAAGATGTGTGTGGCCTTGCATTGTCATGATGGAATACAACACCTTTTCGATTTGTCAATTTGGGCCGCTTTTCTTCAACTGCATTGTTTAATTTCATTAGTTGTTCAATGTAGACATCAGAATTGATCGTTCGGTTGGGTGGTAAGAGTTCAAAGTAGACAATTCCTTTGTAATCCCACCAAACTGATAACAAAACCTTCTTTTGATGAATATCAGCTTTTGATGTTTGAGTTGGTTCACCTGGCCTGCTCCACGATCTTTTCCGCTTGATATTGTTGTAAACAACCCATTTTTCATTGCCAGTTATCAGTCGTTTTAAAAATGGATCATTTTCATTACGTTTCTTTAGCAAATCGCAGCTGCTAATGCGTTGCGTTAACTGTGATTCTTTCAGTTCGTGAGGAACCCATGTATCGAGTTTTTGAACATAGCCAAGTTGTTTTAAGTGATTTTCAATGCATGTATGTGATACATGAAGCTTCTCTGCAATCTCACATGTTGTACTGTGACAGTCCGAATTGATTATTGCTTTGATTAGGGCGTCATCAACTTCAACTGGACAACCAGAGCGTTTTTCATCTTTGAGTGAAAAATCACCAGAACGAAATTTGGCAAACCAATTTTGACACTGCCGTTCTTTTAAGGCTTCGTCACCATAAACAGCACATAACTTTTTATGAGCTTGCGATGCGTTTTTCCCTTTGTGGAAATAAAAAATCAAAATATGACGAAAATGTTCCTTTTGATTTTCCATTTTTCAATGAACGCCAAACGAAAACTACAAAACAGATCAAAAAACTTTTTTTACTGATTAACAGCTGAATAGCCAACTATCAAATAACAAAATGTGTTTTACATTTTTACTACGTCTGCAAACCTAAAAATTCAACTGAAGCCATATATGTGTGAAACCCGCAATTACTTACTTGCCGACCCAATAATATATTCATATACCATTGGACTGATATTTGATATAGCAGCAATTCATTGTCCTGCAAGAGAGGCTGAGAAATATTGTCGGGCACTCTGCTGCTCAGAACAGACTCAGAATTCCTATTATTTAAAGAAGAGAAGGATATCGACTACAAGTTAGGCAACTAACAGCCTCTGCCATAGAAAGCATTACTCAATGCCCATTATGAGCACTGTAGCTATTGAAAGTTATTTTATCATGAGGTTCTATAAAAATGACTCAATACATTGAACAGCTGATTCTAGGATAGTCATTTGCCTCTTCTGCAGATTTTGTGCAGGTTTAATACACAGTACCTCTGGCATGTTCAACAAGCTGGGCACTATAACAGGGGCCAGATATTTGATCTTCACAGGGACTGATTTTTGTGAGCTCTGCAACTGGGCTTCACCATCAGTCCATTTGTCCTCCTAAAATCCAAGATCCTTACTTATTAAGATTAAAGAAGAGAATGCCATGTTAATTCTCCATCCTTCATCCACTGGAGTGCTGGCGTGGCACCAAAAAATTAAAGTAATTGTGCTTCTTAAAAAAACATAACTAGACATGAGGATTCTGTCCTTATCTTGGTGCTCATGCTCTCTCAGCTCTCTCCCCCCCAGCCTCCCTCTCTAAAACTGCTTTATTACTAAGCAGGAATTCTCAATTGAAATCCTCATTCTCATTAGGAGTCTGCATTTGGTTTCACAGATGTTGATGTTGAGGACATCATGTCTAATAGGACTTGGTGGCCTGGATTTCAATTATATTCTCACCTATTCCGTTTCTGTACTGATTACTTAGATGAGCTAAGTCTAGAGTGGACTTTCACTTGGTGGTGTTTGAGATTAGAGATAGCCCATCTCCTGGTTCATTGTAGCTGACTTCTTAAGCTTGGGACCCATCCTCCTCTAGCTGCCCAGGCTGAAGCTGACTGTTGCAACTGGACTTTGAACTTCTTGGTATGAATATTTTTTCTTCAGCAGCTATGAGTGACTATGTGATGAAAAAGGAATGCAGCCTGTCCACGGTATCAGTGGAATATCAGGGCCAGACCAAGGAATCTTAGTCATCAATACAATTAAAGCAAAGATAAAACACCAGCATCCTAGAAACAAGAACAGTTAGGTGACAGGTTGGTCCACTAGAAGTCAGGTTAGAGGGAGAAGAGTCAAAGATCAGGAAGCCTGAGTCTTTTGGAGCTGAAGTGAAGAACAAAAATATATAACCCAAATCAGAACTCCATGTAGAACGAACTAAGAGCTATTAGCATAACAGTGTAAAGTATTTGCAGTCCTAAGTCAATATTAGCTTGATGTTTATTTTCATAATTATAGAAAGTGCATTTGGTTTGGGACTGAAATTCTCATGACTAGATAGATATTTGTTAATTCAGTGCTCAGATTTTCTCTACCACACTCTCTTCGTTTCAAAGTTCCCTAGCATCGCAGAAACTTTCCTTTGAAGAGTTGATTTGTGGAGTACTATTAAATATGTGTGGTAAGTATTCAATTCTTTTACAATTTAGATAGGGCTTATTTAAGCACCAGAGAGATTATTTCATTTCTTTGAAACTAATTTCAAAGTATTAGTCTAAATCACTACAAACAGTACCAAGTATTCCACCTTTTGTCTTAAGAATGCTGGCATACTTCTAATTTGACCAATTTCTGATTCCAAGATTGGGTCCTACTAATGATCATTAGGTGAAATTAAAACTTTAAAATTTAAGACCTCCACTACTACATGCCCTATTGTGATACCAATTAAAAGGTAAAATGGCCCTTTCTTCAGAACTTTAAACAGGAATTGGAACAGTATTTCACATTTTTTTAAAAATCCCTTTGCTGGTGAGGCTGTTAATTGGGTGCCATCACATGCACCTGCCCATTTGGTTCCCGGTCAGGGCGTGTGTCCCGTTGTAGGTGACGTTTCTACATCTTCTTCTCTCTCTAAATATCAATTTTTAAAAAAAGATGTAAGAGGCAAAATTATAGAACAAAAAAATCCTCTGAATACCAAATTTAAAAAGAAAACAAAGAACTATTGATGCCTTCACTTAGTTTACCTCTATACTCAAAAATCTGTTAAAATTCTGAATTCTAGTCTCATCTTGCTGACATTGCCAGAATATCTTAGGGAAATATTTGATCCTCAATTTACTTTTAACAAAGCAGTAAATGAAAGATTTAGAACTCTCAGAGACAGTCACCAGCCAAAAGGTTATCAATAATCCCTTTTTTCTATGTAACATTAAATATTATCTGGTATTATTTACTTCCAACAGAATGTTGCTTCAAAAGTCCACACATGAAAAGTCTTCCCTGCCACCATCTGCTCAAAGAAAGGTGGAATACTTGGTACTCAACAGGGACATTAGTAAGTTGAGGTTCACCTTAAACAAATGCCTAGAGTCAAAGTTATTTTACTTAATAAAATAAAAATATTGGGCTGGACCTAGGGAATAGATTTTGGAATCAGGACTTAAAAGTTCAGCAATGTGGGATCACATCAAGCCAAATCTTTATTTTATATTCAGGGACACTTAAATTGAGGAGCAATTTCACATCCTGCATAAGACAAAGATTGGCAGAAGAGTCATTTGGAAAGAATGGCCTAACAGTAATATTCAAAATATAACCAACACCTATTGATATTAACCAAATATTGAGTTTACTTTTCTAGTCTCTTTGTTTATGAGATGTGGACAGAAGTGATAGCCATTAAAAATATTCTACAAAATCCTCCAGTTTTCTCTTCCATGATGACTTTGGAGTAGACAGACTCATATCAGGTTTTATGTGAGAAATGAATGTTTATCGGGGGGTTTACTTGTGATGACATCATAGCATAACTCTCTTCGATGGTGAAGAGGGAAAAATTGGAATCAGAAAGTGACTACAGCAGTAATGGGACCCTTTGATGATAAAGGTGTAGGCTAGATTGAAAGAATTAAAAGAAAGGATGTGAATCTATTAGGTGTTTTAAATGGAACTGGGTAGAAGAAAAGTCATTCATTCAGGTAAATATTTATTGGGCACCTATTATTTGCAAGGCACTGGGAGCTACAAAGTGCATACAATTTAGTTAAGAAGATAATACATGTACATAAATTATAAAACCAACTTTACAGCATAATGGTGAGAGGAATAGATTTTGAAGGTAGACCTGTATTTAAGAACTGGTCTCACTAGTGGTCACCTTGGGCAACTTATTTAATCCCTCTAAACTCCAGTTTGTTCACCTGCAAAATTCAGGTAGTAAGAGTACCTATTAATAGGGTTTTTAATAATATATATTTTTATTGATTTCAGAGAGATGGAAACATCAAAAATGAGAATCATTGTTTGGCTGTTTCCTGCACGCCCCCTTACCGGGGATTGAGCCCACAACCAAGGCATGTACCCTGACCAGGAATTTAACCAGAACCTCCTGGTTCATAAGGCTCACCCACAGAGTCACACCAGATAGGATTATATGAGAGGACCAAATAATCTCCTTGCAGTTGAGTGTTTACCCCATAATAAGTGCTCAATAAGTGCTAGCTATTAGTAGTATCAGTATGAAAGAGATCTAAAAGTTAGGACACCAAAAAGATCAGTGTGCAAAAAAGCTCCAAGAGAGAGGGACCGACAGTTATAAAAAGAACTATTTGAGAAACCACAGTCCTGCTCTGATATAATTCTGTCTTTCCCTTTCTGTTATAGCCTCAGTTATTTAAAGTGCAGTGACACCAGGGACCTCAGATAAGAGGTGTGTCTGAGGATCACCTCCTAACATTTATCCTGCTGTCTGAGAAATGTCTGCAAAATGCTGACTCTTTACAATTGCACCCTAATTTCCAGCATCCCACATCTGTTTTATAACATGGTATATAGTTTTTATTCAAACACTGTGGTAGCAGAGGCAGGTAAGGAGAACAGTTAGCCAGAATAGGTAGAATGATTAATTGATCAATTTAAGATGAGAAAGACCTATTTTAAGTTTTCGTGGAGGCCCTTTGACTAAAACTTTCACTCAATTCAGTCTATTCACTGTTTGGCATAGCGCCGTTGATGTTGAATAACTGATGATTTAGAACTAAACACTTTTCCACATACACTGCATTCAAACGGTTTCTCTCCTGTATGAACCCTCTGATGTCGTGTAAGCCTGCTTCTCTGGCTAAAGGCTTTCCCACATTCACTACATTCATAGGGTTTGTCTCCAGTGTGAATCTTCTGATGCTGTGTAAGGGATGAGCGGTCAAAGAATGCTTTCCCACACTCACTGCACTGGTAGTGAGGGTCTCCAGCATGAGCTTTTTGATGTCTGTTCAGCGATGAGATACCATAGAAGGCTTTCCCACACTCAGTACATTCATAAGGCTTCCGGCCAGTATGGATGAGCTGGTGTCTAGTAAGAATGCTTTTCTGGCTGAAGGCTTTCCCACACTGGCATTCATAAGGAGTTTCTCCAGTATGAATTCTCTGGTGTCGAGTGAGGGATGAACGGTCAAAGAAGGCTTTCCCACACTCGCTGCATTTAAATGGTTTCTCTCCAGTGTGAATTCGCTGATGTACAGTTAGGGATGAACGGTCAAAAAAGGCTTTTCCACATGTGCTGCATTCATAGGGGCTTTCCCCAGTGTGAGACATCAAATGTCTGCTGAGGCTGCACCTACGACTGAAAGCTTTCCCACACTCACGGCATTTAAAGGGCTTCTCTCCAGTGTGAACTCGCTGATGTACAGTTAGAGCTGAACGGTTGTAAAAAGCTTTCCCACACTCATGACAATCAAAGGGCTTCTCTCCCGTGTGAGTCTTCTGGTGGCGGATAAGGGATGATTGATCAAAAAAGGTCTTCCCACAATCACTGCATTCCTGGTCTCTGTCTTTAGTGAGAATTTTCTTGGGACTGGTTAACCCTTGCTGCAAGCTTTCCTCCTGGGAAAGGGATTTCTTACAAGTCTCCACTGTAGGACTTTCCTTCTCTGCTTCCAACCTACCTTCTAGTGCAGGAACTTCCAATTTAGTACACAGAGGACTTTTTCTTTCAAGCTTTTCCACTGAAATTTCTTCTGACTTTTCTTCTGAATCACTTTGAATCTCACCTTGAATCTCGGGCTTAGTCTCCCAGTCTGTAATGGACAGAAAACAGAGATGCAATTTCTTTCCTGGGATAGAAAATATTACAGCAAAAAGAAGAGGTACTATGATAAATCTGGAAAGTAATATGTCATTGCATTGCTTGCTCTGCAAAGAGCTACACAATTTAGGTAAAGACTGGGATTTGGGAATAAAGAAGGAAGCAGGAATAGAACTGATGTTGGACATCTTAGAAAAGAATGCCCAGGATAATTATGAGAGTATACAAAGTGGGAAGGATGGTGAGAAATAGGAATATCAAATTGTGAGTAGGCAACTTGACAGATCTGAGGGTAGCATTTGGTGAGAAAAAGATGAATAATACGGGGCCCAACCAGGTGGCTCAGTTGGCTGGAGTGTTATCCTGTGCACCAAAAAGGTTGCAAGTTTAATTCTGGTCAGGACACATACCTAGGTTGCAGATTCAATCCCTGGTCAGGGCACATATGGGAGACAACTGATCAATGTCTCTTTCTCACTATAGTATTTCTTTCTCTTTCTCTCTCCCTTTCTCTCTCTTTAAAATCAGTAAACGTATTCTCAGGTGAGAATTTTTTTAAAAGATGAATAATAGCTTTAAATGTCAAAAAATTAAAACTTGGTGGGCGATAGAGAATAGCACTAACCTGGCCAGAGTGGCTCAGTGGTTGAGCACCAACCTATGAACCAGGAATCATGGTTTGATTCCAGTCAAGACACATGCTGAATAACTGATGGGTTGTGGACTCAGTCCTCAGTAAGGAGCATGCAGGAGGCAGGCCATCAGTGATTCTCTCTTTTCATTGATGTTTCTATCTCTCTCCCTTCCTCTCTGAAAACTAATATATATATTCTATTGATTTTTTTTACAGAGAGGAAGAGAGAGGGATAGAGAGTCAGAAACATCGATGAGAGAGAAACATCAACCACCTGCCTCCTGCACACCCCCTACTGGGGATGTGCCCACAACCAAGGTACATGCCCTTGACTGGAATCAAACCTGGGACCCTTCAGTCCGCAGACCGACGCTCTATCCACTGAGCCAAACCGGTTTCGGCAAAAAATATATATTTGTTTTTAAAAGAGAGAATAGCATGAAAGCAGAAGATCTGAATTTGAGAAAATGGTGGTAGCCAATGCTCCTTCCCTCAAACCCCCAAATACCCACAAAACAAAACAAACTCTGCCCTACCCTGTTCATATGCAGTTACCTAGAGAAATGTTCTCTGGCCATCTTCCTTCATGAGGTCCATGAAGATCAATTATCCAAGGTTTATCCTCTCTCTTCAACTGGAAAATCACATCAGGTTGAGGAACTGGAAGTCCTGCTCATGGAGAAAGAAGCCAGGTATGGATGGGACAAATATACACAACTACTCCAAAACTTCATCCCAGCCTCTAGGACTTTCAGAGAGAAAACACAGAAGGCAGACCATGTGTGCCAAGAATGCAGAATACAAAGTAATACAGAGAATGCAGGGACATCTGGATAGAGGTCAACACTACTAGTAAGGTTCTAAAAGGGATCGCTGCACTTGGTCAAGAAGTCGATAAAATCCCCTTGAATGAATGTGTTTATTCTTTCTTCAGAAGTAAATGGGCTTTAGCACTGGTAGGATGGGTGGGAACAGTCCTTACTCAAGGAAGATAAGAATAAAAGCATAATCTTGAGTAAAAAAATCTAATGAAAGTGAATTTTTATTTATCCTTCAGTGATAAATTAATTTAATTATATCAATCATGTTCACTGTAGGAAAATTACAGGTATACACTTTGTATTCTTGTTTTAAATTTTCTATTCATTTCTGTACAGATATACTATGTTAAAAACTGCATAATGAAAATGTTGATTTGTAAACTCGGTATTTTCACATAACAACACATTTAAAAAATATTTCAATTAAGCACAAATCTACCTCACCATTTTAATGGCTACCCGATACTATATTGTATGGAATAATATAATTATTTAATCTCCTGCTGACAGATATTTCAGACTGTTTTTAATGTTTTTCTATTTTTAAAAAAAACCAATATAATGAACATGTATGTACAGCATGGACTGCTAATCCTATTCTTTCCTTGGGACCCATTTCTAGAAGTGAACCTATCCATTTTTTTATTTAACCCTCACTCACAGGTATTTTCCCATTGATTTCTAGAGAGAATGGAAGGGAGGGAGGAGGGGAAGAGAGAGATGGACAGGAGGGAGAAGAGGGAGAGAGAAATCACTGTGAGAAAGACATATCAATTAGTTGCCTCCCACATTTGCCCCACAGGAGCGGGGGAACCTGAATCCTAGGTAACTTGTTTTTTCTGTTCTGAACAAGGCACCTGCCCTTGATGGGGAATCGAACCCGTAACAATTCAGTCCAGGCAGGGCTGAACTTATCCATTTTTTGTTATATAGATTTCACTCCTAGAAATAGTCTTGAGGTCTAAACTTCCTTTGCATTGCACCTCCAACTTGGGAAAGAGAAGCACTTTCTTACTGACCCATGGATCATGTATCCAGTTGTATGTTGATTCTCTGCTGACAAAGAGGCCACATCAATCACCTCCCTGTGGCTTCTGATCTGATAAATTTTATATTCCTGAGAATTTCATCCCACCAAAGCCTCTGATAAAGGCTTAGCAGTCTCTTTTAATATTCCATGAACACTACTCTGTTTTCCATATTTAACCTGTTTAAACTAATCCAGGGGGTGCTTTTTTGAGTGAAACGTGCAATCTGACTCCTCTCATTAGCACCTGCAGTTGACTGCAAGCCTGGTTCTGAATCTGTGCTTCTCTCAGCCTCTTATTCTGGAAGCTCCTGAGATGTTCTCATCACCTGCAAGAGTCCAACTTTACTTCTCAAGAATACCTGACATCAGCAGTAATTCTTAACTTTCCCTTTGTCATGAAAGTCTCTAATTGCAGAGTTCCATCTATGGGCATCGAAAATGCATTTAAGACAAATATTCAAAATCACATTTCTAGTGACCTACTGTGAGGCACAATCTTGTATTCCCACCTCACCTCACCCCCACCCCCACCCCACCTTCTTTTAAAGTGAAACATATCTCTCCTCTGCTTCTCTAAGGAGAACTTTCCTTCAACAAGCTGGCTCCTCACCTCACCCTTACTCTGGATGGAGCTGAGTAAGTTACCTGACTGATGAGCTGGGGGAAGAGCAGGCATAAATAACTTGGCCTCTTGTCTGTCCCTTCTGGAGAGCCAGCTCCCTATAGCAGATACACGTCTGGTCTGCTCCTTAGGGCTCTCTGTGGTGCGGGGCCAGACTGCTGAGCGAGGGAGCCTGTGCTGGTCCCTGCTTAAGATTCAAGGAGCTGGGGCTCAGGATTAGGAAGCCCACTGTCACTGTACACCTATAAGCCTTATACTCTTCTATCTTGTCTCTCAGTGGTTCAGAACTCAGGTGGAAGAAAAGGTATCAATTTATTAGCCTCTCAATCCATTTTAGCGCAGTACAGAGACCAGCTACTGAAGGGAAGCACTCCTTACCCAGTGAGATGATGCTCTGATAGTTTTCCAGCATCACTTCTTTGTAGAGGTCCCTCTGAACAGGGATCAGATGCCTCCACTCTTCATCTGTGAAAATCACAGCCACATCCATGAATGTCACTGACTCCTGGAAACACAATCACATTCTCCCTTATTCATAACCCTTCATTTTACATGGACCAGATAAAAGTGTCATAAAGACAGCCCTGGAGGTTATGAAGGGTGGGGAGGGAAATGGTTCTGACAAAACAGAGATTTGGCACACTTGGGAAAGCAGCCTCATTCCCGTTGGTCATAATCCCACACCACCACAGTCACAGCCGAGCTCCGAATATCAGGGCTCTTGGTGAGACTTACAGGAAACTTGCAAAAAAGAAACAAAGAATTCCCATGGGCCCTTCACCCAGCTTACCCAAATGTTAATATCTTCCATATTTGCTTTATCTTCCTGTCTCTCTGGAGAATATATTCCTATATTCTTCCTGAACTTAAGAGTAACTTGCAAACATGTTGTCCCTTTACTCATTAATATCTTAGTATATATATTTTGTAAAAACAAGGGTATTTGCTTTTATAATCACACTATAATTATAAAAATCAACAAAATAGCATTGACATTTTACTATTACTCAATCTACAACTTTGTTCAAACTTTACCCATGGTCTTTTTTTTACGTATCCTTAAAACAGTGATGCTGATTAGATCATCTTTAGGATCCCTCTCATTTTACTCTAATGTTCTGTGATTCTGTTAGATTCATCTTTACTCCTCATCCTAAAACCCCAGATGAGTCTTCAGTGTGTCTGCAAAAGTTTTGAGCCAGAGCATGTCATTCAAGACCCTACGCCTTTGCGTGAGAAGGCGGCAAGCACATGTCTGTTCCCACCACAGTCCTCAGGAGGACTGAGGCGCACTCACTCCCCAGCCTACCTCAGCACTCCCTGGACTGTTTGGGGTCTGTTTTTAGTCCATACAAAGAGAAGTCAGGACTAGACTGGCCCATTGTTCCCCAAACCTTCCAATCAGACCCGCACATTCATTTTTTAGGCAAAATCACTCGAGCGAAGGCCACAGGGGCTGTGTGTCTGATGACAGGCTAATGGGATCACAGCACACATTCAAGACAAGAAAAGGCCACTGAAGGACACCACAAGTCAAATGGGAAGGAAGCACTCCTTATGGAATCGTTTATCCACCTGGTGGGTCTGATAAAAAAGCTCCAGGACAGAGAAAGAAAAGGGTTAAAGTATTTCTACATCACCTGGCATCTGGCAGCTGGAGCCACAGCAGCCACTCCCTCCTTGGTGCTCTCCATTAGGAAAGGCAGAGTCCTAAGGCAGGAAAAGTGTGTTGTGAGAAAGAAAGTATGAGAAAGACCATCTTTTTATAGATTTCTGAGCCAGGAAGCAAGAACTCTCCATATACCAGTACATTATATATTCATCCTCAACTTAATACCCTATACAAAGGGAAGGAAAGTAAAGCAAGGCCCCGGAACCAGAGCAAAGGGCATGGATACAGCTAGTTAAAGCACAATATGGGGCTTGTTTGACCGTAATCCTAGAGACAGAGTTTAGTTCCTCTGTGTCAAAAACAGAATAAGGTTCATACTGTACTTATAAATTCACATTCAATATTGCCTGGAATGGTGCCTAGCTGGTGCCTGGTTGCATGTCCGCCTATGAATCAGGAGGTCATGGTTTGATTCCCGGTCTGGCACATGCCAGGGTTGTGGGTGCGATTCCAAGTAGAAGGCATGCCATAAGGCAGCAGGTCAATGATTCTTTCATCATTGATGTTTCTATCTCTCTCGCCTTCTTCCTTCCTCTCTGAAATCAATCAATCAATCAATCAATCAATCAATCAATATATATATATCCTGAATGGTTACTGGATAAAAAGCATAAGAAATTTTATAAATGACTACATGTATATGTCAAATAAATACCCAAAGCCTCTTCAAGGGAAAAATACCCTATTTATAACCCTGTGCTCAAGGATGTGGGCAGCCACGCTGAGCAGGCCACAGGTGGGCTATGCCCAGGCTGATTAGTAGACTGAAATGTGATTGACTTGAAGAGATGACATCCTTCCTCATGAATGTAAACTAAGAGATGACAGGTCTAACTGAAAGGATGTGATGGACAGAAGTAGCTATGAGGATTAGGGGAGCCAAAGTTATCAAGAAGCAGCACCCATGAACATCTGGGAGGTTAGGGGAGCCTAAGTTACCAAGAAGCAGAATCCATGCGTGTGCTGGAGGTAGCACTAGACAGAGTCAGGGGGAAGAGCAGCTCGGTTGCATTAGTGACAAAGCACTGAAGCAAAGACCCAAGAATTCCTAGCCCCTGGGCTCCAATTTGCATAATGTCCAACCTTATTTATTTTTGGATGTCCGAAAGACCACAACCCTCTTGGGCATTGTGTGAACCCTTACCACTACTCTCTTTGACGCTTCCATGCTTAAATCCTTCAGTGATCCCCATGCCATAGAAAAGTGGTTAAGTACGCCTCAATTTCTTACAATCAAAAGTCTAATTAACACAGAGAGATCAAACATTGCTGGGATTTAAGAGTGGGATGGGAGAGACTGTGGTTCTGCCAAGGAGGAGGAAGAGGTATGGCTTGCTGATTGCTCTCCTGCAGTCAAGGAAGTATGTTAACTGATCCTTATTTTTCATTCATCCATTCATCCAAACATGTATTCAGCCCTAACTATTGATAACAAGCACCAACACCATATGACACCTTCCTTGTCCTCTAAAAGCATATAGCCTAGCACATAGGACAAACAAGTAACCAAAATGATATTTCACTGCAGAATGGCTAAGTGCTGTAAACAGATATGCACAGCAAACTATGCGAGCACATGAGGTTTGCCTAACCCAGATGGAGGGAGAGAGGAACAGGACAGGTTTCTGGGCAGAAATGGGACCTAAGATAAGCTGTGATTTGTGGGAGAAGATTCTAGGCAGGAAAAACACCTAGTTTTCAAAAACAAGCAGGCATGTCTTTACATGGAAAGGATTGACAACTGCAACTACTTTAGAATGGCAGATGTCTAGCTGCAAGCAGAGCTGTGGGAAAGGATGAGGATGGAGAAGCAGGCAGCAGCCAGCTGGACCCAGGAGAGCTTTGTATGGTCCCTTTTCTATGGCATGGGGATCACTGAAGGATTTAAGCATGGAAGTGTCATCATTAGATTTTAGAAAGATCATTGCAATTTGTATCAAGGGCCTGGAAATATACATATTCTTTGGTCAGCAATTCTTCCCCAGCTTATCCCAAGGAAATAAGTAAAAATATATGCAAAGCTTTGTCTTAACCATCATTTATACTAACCTTTATTGAGTGCTATGTGTGGAAAACTTCTAAGTATTTAATCCTTAAAATAATTCAGAAAAAAATTTGAAATATCCTAAATTTCTAAATAGAAAATTTGATTAATTTATGATCCAGCTTATCTATACAATGTAACACCATTAAACATCTTATATCCTATATAATAAAGAGGTAACATGCAAATTAACCCTCAGGCCCTCACAAGATGGCTGCCTACATACAACCAGGCCAGGGGGATTAGTGAGGGACAACCAAATAACTGAACAGCAGGCTATGTGGGGCAACCAGGCCAGTGTGGGAGGGGGGAGGAGGGCAACTAGGGGTGTCCAGGCCAGCAGAGGGGGTGGGCAGTTGGGAGCAACCAGGTTGGCAGAGGGGGGGCAGTTGGGGGTGACCAGGCCGGCAGGAGGGGGGAGTTAGGGGCGACCAGGCCAGCAGGGGGGGCAGTTAGGTATGATCAGGCTGGTAGAGGGGGACAGTTGGGGGCAACCAGGCTGGCGGGGGGGGGGGGGGGGGGGGCGGTTAAGGGCAATCAGGCTGGCATGCAGAGGCAGTTAGGTGCAAACAGGCAGGTGAGTGTTTAGAAGCCAGTGGTCCAGGATTGTGAGAGATGTCTAACTGCCAGTTTGGGATTGGGCCTAAACTGGCAGTCAGACAACCCTGAAAGGGTCCTGGATTGAAGAGGGTGCAGACTGCACTAAGGGGACCCCCCATGCTCAAATTTTGGGCACCAGGCCTCTAGCCATATTAATAACTAGCATTTTTTTTTATTCTTTTTTTTTTTTTTTTTTAGCATTTGCTACTGACCAGGAACTGTGCTATCTTTTAATGAAAATAAGTCTTTATAGTACAGAGATTAAAAACTGCTAGAAGACCTGGGTTCAAATTTTACCTCAGCCTTTTACAAAGCCTAAATTTCCTAAACTGCAACACAGTACATACCTTATTGATTTATGTGGATGGAATTAAACTATCATCATAAGGAGTATTTAGTACAATGCCATTCCTGGATCTCAGTGTTTCTGGAGAAAACACTCTTCAAATTCTTATTCTTATTCTATATCTTCAAATGAGCACTTGCCTAAAAGCTTTTACTGTTCTTATCCTAGCTCCATAGCTACTCCAACCTTCAATTTTAGCAGAGCACAGTCTTTTACTATACTGAGCTTCACAAGAGTGAGTGCCAAGGGAGGCAGAACCAGGAGGTAGAAAGCAACCACAGACCTGGAATTATTCTTGATTACTTGTGCTAACAGCTGAACCCAGTTGTTTAATGCTTTCTTCATGGAGTAGTTGTAAATAGTGAGACAATTAATGTAAAGCATTTATCATCCAGCTTGTTCAATTAATGAAAGCTCCTTTCCTTTCTACTGCACGATACAAACCCATTCATCCTACCATTCAATAAATAGTATTATGCACTAGGCCCGTGGTCAGCAAACTGCGGCTTGCAAGCCACATGCAGCTCTTTGGTCCCTTGAGTGTGGCTCTTCCACAAAATACCATGGCCTGGGCAAATTTATTTTGAAGAAGTGGTGTTAGAAGAAGTTTAAAAAATTTGGCTCTCAAAAGAAATTTCAATCATACTGTTGATCTTTGGCTATGCTGACTAATGAGAATGCCGACCACTGCACTGGGCAGAAAGGGAGTGAGGTCAACAAAACAGAAATGTCTGCGTCTCTAGGACTTTACCTTAGTATCTCACAACTGTCTCCTATGTTCTTTTCCACAATTGTTCTTGCGCAGAATCAACTCCCTGCATCACCTAGTTTTTCTCTCTCCACATCTCACATCTCTTCAGTACCTTCTTCCCTTATGTTCAAACAGATACAGTCCTCCTCTATCTGAAACTATCTTCACTGAATCTCATGGCCTCCCTCTAGCAAAATAATTCTCATTTAGGTTTTCCTTTCACGACCAAACTTCTTGTGAGTAATATATCCCTATCTATTACACATCACCACCACCTATTCTCCTTCTTCTCTTTTCTTTTGGTAATCCTCACCAGAGGATTTTTCCCCCCATAGATTTTTCTTAGACAGAATGGAAGGGAGGGGGAGAAGGGGAAAGAATAGAGGTAGAAAGGGAGAGGCACATCTATTGACTGCCTCCCACACGTGCCCAACTGGGGTCAGGGATTGAACCTGCAACCCAGGCTTGTGCCCTTGACTGGGGACTGGGAATTGAACCCGAGGCCCTTGGGTGCACGGGATGACACTGTAACTACTTAACCACATAAGCCAGGCACCTATTCTTCTTGAATCCTTATTCTGCTTATGCCACCCTTCACACACCTGAGACTGCATGCTTGAAAATTAACAATGCCTTTCTGAGCTCTAATCCCAATAATCCTTCTCTCCTTATCTATTTCTCTGCAGCTTGTGATTGTTTTGACAAGTTTCTACTTCTCTAAGCTGCTGTAGCTGCTCTGATACTGCACTACCCTGGCTTTCTTCCTCCCACTAACACTGCATCTTTCTGAAACTCTTTTTCTCAATCTTGCCCTGGGAACAGGGATGCTGTGCAAGGATCAGTCTTTGTACAATGCTCTTCTTGCTAACCCTCAAAAAACCCATTCACACCTGCCACTCCATTTTCCCAGTGTAGTCCCAACACCTCTTCCAAACTCAACCCTGCATTTCCAAATGACTGCCAATTTTGATTTAGGTGTTCTGCCAGGACCTCAAAACAATCTTCCCCTCTGCAACTCCCTACATCAACTCCTCTCCCTGTTTTACATTTCAATCAGCTGTTTAATAGCCTTCCAGGTGCCCCACATTCAAGTTCTTACCGCACTCTTGTTCTTCTTAAAACTAATTAGTCATCTCTTTCTTCCTAAGTCTAACTAGTTACCTGGTTCTTCTGACTCTTCTTTTGCAATGTCAATTGTGTTCTTCATCATTGGAGTCCTAACAGCTTGTTTCAGGATTACTACCACTAACTGTTCCTAACTGACTCCCTGCCACTAATCCTTTCCTCTCTCTAGTTCTGGATGTGACCTCTAGAACAACTGTCCCAAAACAGTTTATTCCTGTCAATCACCTTGCCTATATGTCTTGTCCTGATCCTCTATGTGTCCTCCTCCATGAAGTTGCCCCTCACCCTTATCACTCGTGGAGGTCAAGATAGGGACTAAACCGTCAATCTGAGGTTTCTGAGAAAGAAGGACTGAAATGGGCGGCACCCTACACATGTGTCAGTTCCACCTACCTTTAGTAAGCACCCATAATGGGAAGAGGCGAGATGAGTTGAGTATTTTAATATTATGACTTTGTGGTCAAGTATCTGTAATTTTTTACAATTTGGTCTCTGGCTCTGCTTGAGTGACTAAGTAGCTTTGCAGTCTGAACCTGACTCTGTCTACCTGACAAACTGCACTCCCTCTATTGTCTGTTGAATCATTACCTGTTTGAAAAGTTTGTTTTATGAGCTCCAAGGGAAACTGAGGCAATGGTCATAGTCTTGTGTCACCCCTGCTGCCCATATCTCATGACTACAAGCGTTGGCCATATCTCCTACCTTTACCTGCTGACGATGGATTAACGGAAACGATTGGTCTAGTAATAATTAATGTCGTTTTTAAACATTCGTTTAAAATCTTGCTTGGAGTTGACTTGTATTGACATAACCTTCAAACACGTGGTATCTACAGAACGTGTGAAGTGCAATTAACAAGCTTTGCTTGAAAAAGTTTGTGTTTGGTTTGGTTTTTGTTGCAAAACTAGGGCTAAGAAGATGGCGGATGAAGAGCATATTCAGCACTGCATGCTTTACGAGTTCCAATTAGGAAGAAAAGCAAGTGAGGCTGCAAAAAACATCTGTAGTGCTCTTGGTCAAGATGCAGTTAGCGCCAGAAAATGCCAGCGTTGGTTTGAGAAATTTCGCGAGGGAAATTTTTCGTTAGATGACAAGAGTAGTCGAGGCCATGTGTCCAATTTTGATCAAGAAGCTCTTCAAGCTCTTTTGGTGCAAAATCCTCAAATTACCCAACAAGAGGTTGTGACAACTTTAAATTGTTCACAAAAAACAATTTCCAATCAATTGCGTGCACTTGGCAAAGTCCAAAAGTTTGGAAAATGGGTTCCTCATGAGTTGACCGACAACAACCGTAATCAGAGAGTCACAATTTGCAGTTCGCTCCTCTCTTGTCAAAACCGTTTGCCATTTTTAGAGCAAATTGTTACCGGAGATGAAAAATGGGTGCTGTATGTTAATTTGAAAAGGCAGCCTCAATGGTTGGACAAAAATGAGGCTCCGCAGCCCACGCCAAAACCTGACTTGCATGCGAAAAAAGTGATGTTGTGTGTTTGGTGGAATTTTAAAGGAATTCTTCATTATGAACTTTTACCATCTAACCAAACCATTACAAGTGCAGTGTATAGTGCCCAATTGGAAAGGTTAGCCCAAGCTTTAAGAGAAAAAGAACCCGCGCTGATTAAATGGAAGGGCGTAATTCTTCACCACGATAACGCACGACCGCATACTGCAAGAATCACTGCTGAAAAACTGCGCCAGTTGGAATGGGAAGTTCTCCCTCAACCTGCATATTCTCCTGATATTGCCCCTTCCGATTACCATTTGTTTCGTTCTTTGCAAAACTTTCTTCTTGGAAAAAAATTTAATAATGAAGAATGCCTCAAAAATGCATTGACCGAATTTTTTGCATCAAAATCACAAGAATTTTACAACAGAGGGATTAAAATGCTTCCTGAGCGTTGGGCACAAGTAGTAGAAAACAACGGCAACTATATTGTTGATTAAATTTTGTTGTATTGTTTAAATAAATTCAATTTAAGAAAGTATTAGAAAACAACATTAATTATTACTAAACCTAATAGAAAGACCGGTTGCTCTTCATATAGTGTATATTTATGGCTTTGCTCCCCGTAGCAACCAATCCCCTTACCGGTCAGTTTCGTGTGTGTGTGTGTGTGTGTGTGTGTGTGTGTGTGTGTTTTGCCTTTAAAAACTCTGCCTCTCCTGCAGTTCATCCTGGAGGCCGTCTCCCTGTTCTGCAAACCATTGCTGAAAAAAAACTGTCTTTAGTCTCTCAAAAAGGTCTCCTGAAGTTTTCGTTGACAGAAGACTCCCAACTTCCAACCTGAAAGTTGGCAGGTAACAGACATATACTGCATAGTGTATAAGGTGTATCTGAAAGAACACGTACACACACACACACACACACACACACACACTCACGCATGCTCCGCCGTGTCACTCAATTCTACTCCCACGCCTCCTCCCCCAGGATCTCACGGCCGGGCGCTCACTTCGCATCAAAGTCACGTCTCTACAGCCCTCACCTCTGGGACTCAGCGCTCAGGACCCAGGAAGACGGCGCTTCTTCAGGTCCGGAAAGCAATGAGTCTGCGTAAAGGGCTGGAACGCCTGCGCCACAAAGCTCGGCCTTCGCACGGACTGCATTCCCCAGAAGCCTCAGCGGCCGGCGCGCTTAAGGATGACGTAAAACATGCGCAGGCCTGCGCCTCTGAAAGGAATCAAAGGCGACCCTGAAGCGGGACTGCGCTGTAGCCGCCAAGAGAAGCTACGGTTGTGGATGGCTGGGCTTGTGGTCACCCTGGCAGTGCCGACCACGCGTGTGTCACAGTCCTCCAGTCCTCCGGCGGGAAAGGTGTCTTTGCGATCCTCTGGCTCTCACCGCCCCGGACATGAGTCTTTTGGCGCTCGGAAGGGGCTTGTTTCTGCTACAGCTTGTCCACAGTCGGGAATTTGGTTCTGAGATGTGAGCCACAGAGACGTAGAATCTGGTTCCGAGGACGGGGCTGGGCCTGAAGCAGGGGATGTTCACATTCTTGCGCGGAAGAAGAGAAGAGCCGAGGGCGTGAGTGTATTTAACCGGGGAGCTGCCCCGCTGGGCACACCAGCCTGTCTTCCTTGGTGCCGCTGAGAAGGGCCCTGGTGGAGACGTCGCAGGGATTCTCAACCTTTGATGCACGGGAATTGATGGGGGTTGGGGGGAGGAGAGAGAGGGAGAGGGTATATTCTGATAGAGCACCTGAGTTAATGTGAAAAGTAATCATATTATTTTAAATCTTAGGAGACATATACATATGTGAATAGGGGGTTAGGTTTTTCTTAAGTTTCCTTCTCAAGGTCTGTGCGAAGCCATTGAGGAGGTGACTCAGGTGTGAATCCAGCCAGCAGAACGACCAACCGGGAGTCAAAACATCATCTCATCGCCTGGTGACTAAAGACAAACAGCTGACATCTGCGGACCTCCAGGGTTGCCTCACCCTAGCCCCTTCCCCTTTATAATTCCGCACCTTGCTGGAAGACAGCATCTGAGGCTTGTAAACACCTGTCTTCTTGGTTGGCTAGCCTTCTCAATAAATGCCTAATATGATTCAACCCTGCCTTTGTTGGACACAGGGACAGGCACCTGGGGCCCAACCGGGGGTGTCCTGGTAACAGAATCACCTGAAGAGCTGCAGAGATATATATATATATTGTTTGGGGCCCACTCTGAGGAGTGAGAGTTTCAAAAGATCTCCAGATGATTTAAATGAGCAGCAGCTAAAGCTAAGAGCCACTGAGCTAGAGTTTCAGGGAAGACTGATGATCACACAAAGAATATGATAAAATCCTATTTCAGGAACAAGTCTCCCCTTTTAAACAAACTACCATAGGCAAGGCATTGTCACAGCCCCTTGTGATCACTGTTTTGTTCTGTAACTTTAGTTTTGCTTTTTCCAGTGTCATATAAACAGGATTATACATTATGTAACCTTTAGACTTTAAAGACTGGGAAGTATGGAGACACATCTGAGGTAGGGTAAGCAAGCTCCTTTGTTTGAAGTAGGATTCTTGTCAGGAACAGCAGGAGGTTAGGGCAGACTGAAGAGGGCATTAAATGCCAAACTGAGGGGCGAAATTTTGTCCTGTAGGCAGTGTGAAGACTTTCAGCGGCACCAGTAGGTGCACAAGAATGGTTAACACAGCAGATATACACTAGAGGAAGGGACCAATTTTAGGCTGAGACTAGCAACAAAGCTGTTGCAGGCATCCAGGTATATAAAGTGACGGGTGGGGGTGACAGAAGGGCATTGGGGAAAAATGAGATAGAGCACATTAAGCTAATGTAAAATATTTGCTACTTCTGCTCCTGTGAACCTTGGTTACCTGGGAAGAAACACATGATTTTTAGCCGCCTAGGCTGGCATCCTGATCTCAGCTGTCCAGGTGGCTCCTGTGCATCCCACCCGCTGCTCCCCTCTGCCTTGCCCAAATTCTTGGACCCCTAGATCTTGCCTGTCCGCGCAAGAATGTGCACATCCCCTTGCCTGGTTCCCTGAATTTTGGGCTCAGCCTCCTCATCTGGACTTCAAATGTTTGAGGGATTGTCCTGTCCTATTACAAGCTAACTCTTTTTAGTCTAGATGACTCTGATCTGTGATAACTCCTGTTCTCAACCTAAATTGCAGAGGCAACATGATATGAACTTGAGAGCAGGTAAACTTAGGGGTAACTATTACAGTGGAGCTTAGCAGCCACTTATACACAACTGCATGCAAACTGCACTTACGAAGCTTGCCTCTTCCTGAATTGGCCCCTGCGCTGTTTCGCCATCTCTTATAAAGGAGTTCCTGGAATCTTATTTCAACCAGGAGGACTGAGTCTTTCCCTATCCAATTGGAGCTGCACAGCTCCAACCAACATCTATTCTGATCAATCATGTCAGTACCTTTTGGGTCAATCAAACAGAGGATTTGGATTTACATGGGAACAGACCAATGAGGGACCAGGGGTGGGACCTTCTGTCTCTATAAACTAGCTTCTCTCAGGCTCTAGGCAAGCCCTCGTCCTTTCCACCACAGAAGGATGATTTGTGTCTCCCTGGCTGAGCTGAAACATGGAGATGTCTCACTAGAGCAGAGCAGGCCATTGAGGAACAGAGCAAAGCTGTCTAGCTGGTGAGGGGCCTAGCGCCAGGGCTGGCTCACAACTAGCTGCATCACGTTTGAGTTAGTTTTGTGTGTGTGTGTGTTTTTTGTTTTGTTTTGTTTTTTTTTGCTAAGTAAAATTCCCTTCTTCACCACACCCCAAAAGTGAGGATTCCTGTTAGGACTGAATTGGTGCCCACGTCAATCCCTTGACAATATTGATCTACCTTCAAGGTTACTCTTCTACCTCCTAAGGAAGCCCTATACCACTATCAGTTGATCAAAGCAGTAGTAGGTCAGCCTGGATTCAAAGGAGGTGACATGAACTAGGCAAAGGAATGCAAGTACATAAAGAGAAGGACGTATTGGGGGGCCATCTTTTATTTTTTTTACAGAGAAGGGAGAGTGATAGAAACAACCATGAGAAAGAAACATTGACCAGCTGCCTCCTGCACGCCCCCTACTGGGGATATGCCCACAACCAAGGTACATGCCCTTGACCGGAATCGAACCTGGGATCTTTCAGTCGGCAGGCAGATGCTCTATCCACTGAGCCAATCCGATCAGGGCAAAAGTCTATTTAAATGGGTTGCATTATAAAAGAGGCAGGAGTGAAACCAGCTGTTTAGTTCGGCAAAGAAAAAAATAGTAGATGAAGCAACTATCAATCTCGATAATCTCGCGCTCTAGTTTGTCACTGGTTTTGCTTTTCTGAAGTTGAAAATTTTACATTAACTTTGAAAATTGGAGGTTTGTCTGAGCTGGATTCCTAGCTTCCTACAAGATGCCCATGTATTTCCCCTTCTGCATATCTGTGTCATCAGCGCAGGCCCAGATCAAGACATGCCCAGGTGAATAAAAACTGTTGCCCAGACTTGGCAGAATAAAGCTAATGGACTCCAGGAAGCCACTGGAGTGGGTATGAACGACTTGCGCCATACATATTCCTTGTCTGCCCTACCGCGTGGACCTCCGCTTAGACCCATTCCCTGACCTCCGTGCGCGGTCCACCTAGAGGCTAAATTCCCGGGCCCAGCGCGTGCGGGTGGGAGAAGGAGGTCTAGGACCCTCACCCGTCGCCTCGGAAATCGGTTTGGCCCCGCCACCTCTCGCGAGAGAACGCTCTTAGCCCTAGCCCCGCCCTCCATCCGCGGCGACCAGCCCAAACCCCGCCCTCGGGTCCTCACGTGAGGACCCTGCGAGGCTGTCCGCAGCCACGCCGTGCTCTTTCCTTTCGGTGCAAGTCTGGACTGTGTCCCACCCCGGGCTGCGCCGCGGCGCTGCCATCTGGCCTCGGGGACTGAGGCCCGGGGAGCAGAGGCCGGCTCTGTCTGCGGTCTGGCGGGCGGCGGGGAGGGCTGCCTGGACGAGGCGCTGCAGGGGCTCCAGCATGGCGGCGGCGGTGCGCGCAGCGGGCTGCCTCCCCGCGCTGTGCCGCGTGCCCGCGGGTGAGAGCGGGGACACGGAGCTGGGACTTGAGAGGAGCGGGGAGGGGGCCGGGAGCTCGTCCGGGCGACGAGGAGCGTGGAGCCGCGCGCGGATCCCGGGCCCCTCACGCCGGGCTCCGTCCCACCCCGATCCGCTGTGTGACCTTGCGCGCGCCCTCGCCCTCTCTGGGCTCCAGGGTCAGTCAGTAGCGGGAGGTCCGAGGCCCTTCCAGTTCTCCAGGTCGTTCCTGTCCTGTGCGCTGGGCAGAGAGGGGCCGGGCGTACTGGCGGCGCGATCCGCGGGTCTCTTGGTGATGTCGCCGCGGGGTTCGAGGTGGGTGGCGGCCAGCAAAGCTTAAGGGAGAGGCTGAGTCGCGTGGGAGTCCGCCGTGTTAGGCTCCGGGCGGTCAGTAATCTTACTAAACCGGGATGTTTGGAAGGTCAGCTTACCCGTTGGCTGTTAGCTGCCATCTTCTAGTTCTAGTCCTTGACAGCGTTTGTTGTCAGCCCTTTTCATTATAGTCGTCTTAGTGAAGTGGTATCTGTGATTTTGATTTGCGTTTTTTTATGGTCAATGAGCATATTTTCTCATTGCTTTTGGCCATTTGTATATAGAAACAGTCGTTTAAAATCTTTTCCTATTTTTAAGTTGGGCTGTCTTTTTTTTGACGTATTTTCATTGATTTCAAAGAGGAAGGGAGAGGGACATGAACATCAATGATGAGAGAATTATTGATCAGCTGCCTCCTGCATGCCCCCTGCTGGGGATCAGGAGCCCGCAGAATTGAACCAGGGCCCCTTCAGTCTGCAGGCCAACGCTCCATCCAAACCAGTCAGGACTTGTCTTTGTTCTCTTATTCTATAGATATTGATATTAATGTTAATATGGGCTTGACTGTTCTTAAAGTGCTTTTTCATGGGAAAATGTATCTTAATTTATTTTTATTTTTATTTTATTTTTCTTACTTCACAGGTCACTTATGGTCCAGGCAGCTTTACCTACACACTTTTCCAACAGCTTCAACTTTGGCATTGAAGACTGTTCCCAGTAATGGTGAGATTTGCTTATTTAACTACATTCTCTTATAAGATCTAATGCTAGAGTACTTTATGTGGTTTTTAGAAATGTAAATGAACAAAGCACATTTTTTGTAATGGAAATGCATAGGGTCTAAAGAGTATTACTTCTTATTCTTTCTTTCTTCCTTTGTTTTTTCCATTATCATTTTTCTCCTCTATACCTTCTACACTCCCAACCCCCAGTCCAATCACCATACTGTAGTCCACGTTCATGAGTTCTGTCTTTTCTTTTTTGCTCAGTTTCTCCCCCTCAACCCTACTGTGTGTCAGGCTTATAACATGTAATATCACACCAAGGAAGTTGTTATTCACATTTTACAGATGATGAAGTAATTCTCTGAGAGGCTGAGTGACTTGGACAGGGTCACACAGACAGCAGGGTCACACAGACTGGGTCCTGAGCTGTCTCCTCCTAACAGTCTTTTGGAGGCCTCTGCTCCCACCCAGACACAGTGCAGGGCTCCCTCTTCAGTCACCCTCCAGGAAGGGAGGAAGTGAAGCCCTGCTGAGCCCATCAGTGCCTGTGGTCAGTTAAATCCTGCCTTTCCGCATGGACTATGCTTAGGTAGAATTGAAATCTCATGGTGTCCTTGAGCTTCTGGAACTCTGTGTGCTGGGCTTTACTTGCAGTGTATTTGCTTTTGTTGTTAACCCCGCCTGTGGAGATGCCTGTATACCTTGCTTGAGAGGTCTAGCAGATGAATCTGGTGGGCCTGGGCTCTTCCCTTTTTGTGGTCACTTGTTGGTTCGGTGATTCAGTGATTCATTGATTCATAAGCCACTTACTCTGCCTTTTATCAGCCAGGCAGTGTCCCTGACCTGTGCTGATGGGAGGTAGGCCGGAGAGGAGTGCTCTTGGCTGAGGGATAGCCCTGCGGAAGGCCCTGGCTGGGAAGAATGGTGACTGGCAGAATGACCGCACGATTTTCTGCTCCACTACTTTCTGCCTTTTCAAATGTGGGCAAATGTCACCCCTCTGACCCTCAAGTTTCCACATCTATAAAATAGGGTTAGTAGTTCCTGCTTTGAAGATTGTTGTATTAATTCTTAAAATATTATATTTCTACAGAATACTAAAAGGTTTATATCTCAAAACCAGTTTCCTTTTCTATTTCTTCCCACCTTCCATCTTGTTACTTTCAATTCTTTCAGCTTCCTTCTGGTGATATTTTTAAACTGATCGTGAGTATTGTTTTTGTGCCTGTTAACATTGTTATGCTAATTGAAGAGCTCTCTTACACTTCCATCCCCGTTTTCCCCCCAATGTACAATTTTGATGGACTCTATAGATTAGGAGTGTCGAACTCAATCAGAGAAGGGGCCAAAATCTAAAATCCAGCCTAAATCGCGGGCCGAATGGTTTACTGAACAGTCATAAACTGTCATTGTGATGGAAACGCAGCGGAGTGCAGTGATGACAGCGCGGTGCGGGCCACATTGCAAGGCCTGGCGGGTCGGATTTGGCCCGCGGGCCTTGTGTTTGACACATGTGCTATAGATGGTGTTTTCATTATTAATGCTAAGTGTATATTATTATTACAGCCAAGCTAGTTAGTATTTGTCATTACATTTTCTTCAACATTTTCTCTCCCCTAGAGTTAATACTTGCCTTAATTTTTAAAAGTTGCTCTGTTTTCTTTGTACCTATTGAGATATTTTTCTAAATACTGCAACAGATTGTTCAGAAATATAGCCATGATTTTTCTAAAATCTCTCAAAAGTCACTAATTAACCAGGTTGGTTTAATAGAAGAGAATTAGAAGGAAGAAATTCTTCATGGTGAAAACTATTAGATGATGAAGTGAGACCCCCTTCAGGGGCAGAGTCTTTGTCTTTGAAGAGGTCCACCCAATCTCTTTTTAAAGGGATTATTTCTAAGCTCTAAAATGGACTTCTTTTTGTTACACCCAGACTTCGTGATCCCCAAGGACCACCAGGGAGCCGAGTCTGATGCAATAAACAAAAGAGCCTTTTCCATGCTAGCATGGGCTCCCCCACTCACGCCGGCAGCATGGTGGAAGAGAGAGAATTTCTCCCAATCCAGGGGTTTTACTCCGGTTGGTGGTGATGTCACTGCCTCAGCTAACCCTGATTGGTTGGGTGAGGGCTAGGGATAACTCCGCCCTGCGGGGCGGAGTTGGGAGCTCATCCTCACCCTGCCCTGCCCTCTCACTTTTTACTTTTGACAATTGGACCTTTTTAGCCTAAATACATTATTAGCTATTATAGTATTTGGATTTTTTTAAAAAAGATGAAAGAATTCTAAATCTGATGGTTGCAATTTTTACACTCAAAGTATATTAAGTATATCAGAGATTACAATGCTAAGTGGTGCAAGATAAATATGTGCAGTTGATATTTTGTTGAAGATGGAGGAGGTTACAAGAAAAGCTAAAATGTGTCCCAACAAATGGGGTTTGGAATGATCATTGAAGCTCTGGATTTATTTAGAATGAAAAACCAATATTTTTTATTTCTTATTGAGTAATTGCTAAGTGAATTCATCTAAGTCAGTTTCCACCCTCATGCCATTGA